CAGGAAAGATGAAAGAGCCCACTGTCCGGACATTCAGCTTTGATATTCACAGGAAAGATATTACCGGGCAGACACGTGAGGTGTATGCCGGAGTGATCATTTTTTCTTTCTTTCTTTCTTCTTATTTTCCAGTTTTCTATTGAMGTGTGTTTTTTGCCTTTGAARACATATGGTGCACAATGCCTTGCCATGCGGTGATCTTTCCTTGTCCTTCACTGCCAAYAACTACGTCCACATTGCAGTCCAAAAAATCYTGGTCTGAGTACTATTCTCCGAGAGTTGGCTATYGTGAGGCAGCAGRCACTCACTGTATGGGGTAGACCACGGGGTCATGATCTTGAAGTACGACACACAATAGCTCCTGGACAATGACGGCATACCCACAATAGTACTTTTTCTACTATAATCTGGGAGCCGATTCATTTATGTAACTTCTTGTGTGAGTACGCTCTGACTAAGGTGAGCTCAGGGTGGTGTTTTTCTTGTTTTATTTTTTTGTTTTTTTTCCCTACCCCGTTCCCTCAATAGATGATTAGCGAAGTTAGCATTGGCATTTCCCTCCCTCACCATGGATGAAGGGAATAATTCAAATCTGGCTACTTGTTGTATTTTGGGAGAGACGGTTTAGTTATGCCGCCATTGGAAAAAAACATTGGCCAGCAGATAGTCTCTCTCGCTGTTGCACAACGGTCATGCTGATTACTCTTTTCTCTCCTCATGCGTCGGAAAAAAAAGTTTCACCTCGCACGTTTTAACTTCGAGATTCCGATGTCTTTTGTTGTGTCTTTTTTTTTTTCCCCTACAACACCATAAGTTGGACGTTTCTGCAAGGTAAATGATTTGTGGATGGTTTCCTTTATCGACAACAACACTACTACAAGACCTGAAGAACATGACAATGACATGTGCCAGAAGCAGAGTCAGTGCGCACAGAGCTGTGGATGTCATTAGAGTCAAATACATCACGCATCAATACCACTCACCAATCACTGGAAAATCGCGGATCAATGCTCCCACACCCAATCAACGAGAGACATCGAGTCCCACTCAGCTAAATCCATAGCCCGTCGGTTTAACGTACATTGGTTACATGCTCTTGGCTCAAATAACAAAAAAAAAAAAAAAAAAAAAAAATAAAAAAAAAATCCATAGCCCAACCTTGTTGATGATGGTAATCACTTCGTTGGATTCTCCTCTATGACGTGGCAAT